GTCTTCTTGTCCTAGTGTTAACGAAAGCCTTTTACAAGAATGGCACCCAGCTCTGATGATGTCCATCATATGATGGGCGAAAGCTCAGCACTTTTTTACCCGAAACGAGGGAGGAAGTCCCGTGGACTGCGTCAACATGAATATCGTATAAAATCTAAACGGCTGCAGTACAACGAGATTCATCCGTCCTCATCTGGTGAGATCGACCAACCATGCACTTTCCTACGAAATTAAGATTCCCCTAACAACGTTATCTCAGGAGATTCATATAAACCAAACTTCTCTTCGTATCTGAATCATAATACATCTCATATTAGTAAGCTGGTATTTAGATTGTATTCCACATTTTTTTTAATGGACTAACAAAAGGGCTAGCAGCTTCAAAATTCTTGTTCTCAATGATTTACTCTGATTATTGCTAAGACCATGCCATCAATAATTGGTGCCCTTATTGTCTTTATGGTTTACTGGATATCCATAGCTTGCTTGGGAATGCTTATGTATTTAGCCGTCTTGGCTATTCATACGCAATTCAGTGATTATTATTTTACGTTTAAACTTTCTTTTTTTTCCTGGAATGTGATTATCATCACATTAGCCTACAAAAACTCAAATGATTTGCATTCTCCCCGATATTAATTTCTTATTTATTTTAGTAAAAACCACACTTCAGCAGGTTTACATTTATTTCATCTCACTTTTCGATATCACCATTCTCATTCCGTGCATTTTAATGTGATTTAATGCAGCAAATTGGATCATCGTTGCAAGGAGCTAATTTGCCAGATTAAAGAGCTACAGAAAACGGTTGCCCCAACAGGGAATCAGCTTTTGTCTTCTGAGGCCACTGAGGTCTGTAAGAAAGTCATCCCACATCAGACAGAAGGCGACGTTCAGAAAATAGAGTCCGATATTTTAGAAGTCCATTCAATTCCCTCTCATACTAATCATGAGTTAGACGAAGCTTCTTCGATAACATTAAATACAGACGCTGATCTGCGGAAGGAGCTTATTCGTTATCAACAGGTGCTGAAACACACTGAATCAATACTTTCCGATTTACAAGTTAATGTCAATAAAGAAGAACATGTATGGCAAGCCCGTCTGACCAAATCGGAGGAAATATGCAAAAAGGTATGTTATAATGATGTTTGACTTTCCCCTTATTTATGTGTCAGTCTTTTCCATTATCTAAAACGGTTTGCTCTTACCACTAAATAATGCATTAGACTAAATGCTGTGCAAATTATCTCTTTGAACTCACTTCCATTTCGGACGAAAATGTATTTCCGGATTCA